GCTACCAAGAAAAGGTTTTACAGAAAACTAATGTCCTTAACATATAAATAGTTTATACAAACCAATTAAAAAAAACAACAACACAAAACACAAGTAAGGGCACTTCCAACAGAAAAATGAGTAAGGAACACAAGCAGAAAACAGAAAATAAAAATGGCTAGTGCTCATACAAAAAAATACTCACTTGCACTATAAGTTTTTTAAAAACGAAAATTAAAATGTAAATGCAACTTTCACTTAAACATCAGAATGATCAAACATAATACCGGTCAATGTCGCCAAGGTCTAGTAGGAGAGGTAAATTTAAAATACTGCTGATATTAATATAAAATACTGCTGATATTAATATAAAATACTGCTGATATTAATATAAAATACTGCTGATATTAATATAAAATACAGGGCAGGGCAAAAGTGGGTTTACAGTGGTGAGTATGTGAAACACAGAGTTTATTCTTGCATTATTATTTATTAATTATTATATTATTATCCATACAGACAACTGTAAACCTATTTTGCCCACACCCTGCAGTGTAATCCTTCCGGAGGACAATTTGAAACTATGTATCAGCTATTTTAAAAATGAATATAGTCTTTGACTTAATGTAATCAGAAATACAGACAAAAATTTGGGTAAAAGGATATTCATTCAGTTATTTATAATACCAGTCTGTTGGGAAATGGTTACATAAATACACTTATTTTTGGGTGTGAAATGAAGTAGGAATTTAATTGACTTTTCCCCCTGAGGCTAACTGACCCAGCATTATTTGCTGACTAGTTCAACCTTTGGCCACTGATATAAGACCATACCTCTGTTTCTGTATCTGGAGTGGCCTTCTAGTCATCCCATTTTCTTCTGTTGGTCTCTTTACCCCATATTAATGTTACATACATTTAATGGCACAATTTTAGAATAAAGTCTTAATATTGCTTAGAACAAGTTTCTCTGCTTTTGTATTGTTTCAAAGTATATTGCTATTTGTTCCTCCCATCTTTCTTACATCATGTACATTTTAGAAAGAACTTATTAAGGTCCTCTGACCTCAAGATCCTTCTAAGACTTTGAATAGAATTAATTTATCAATTCATTTGAGAGAAATGACATCTTTCAGATATTAATATTTCTCATCTAAGAACATGATACAGTAAATTCTCGATTTTGTGGATGTTAATTTTGTAGACTTCAGATTTAATGTATAAAATTTCTGGTCCATATGTCATCTGGGAAAATGAACACCCTGTTAATTTTAAAATTCTTTAAACCAAGATTTGCTTATAATTAAATTAACTTTTTTGGATATTAATTCACCATTACTTTTGACAAATTTTAGCAAAGGGGTCATATGTGGGGAAAAACAATGTAGTAACTTCACTGACATAAATAAATATTACATGTCTATTATACAACTACAGTCTATGTGTTTAAATCCAAGAGTTACTGCTGGTAAACAATGTTCAGCAAATGATTAGCACATGATCGAACCACATTGAGAAAGATAATTGGTTTTTGTCCCTGGGTAACTTACCGCAGCAGTTTTAATGTGTGCAGGCTGATGTTCCTACATGCCCTAGCTGTGTGCATTTGTTTACTGGCGGGATCTGGTGGATACTACAGCTATTCAGTATAAATTTAAATTACTGTAATATATATAGAAAACTTTTCTGTGAAATTAAACTTTTCATACATACTTAATTTTAATTACACAAACATATCTACCAAAGTAAAAACAGGTTAACTAATTTGTCAATTTTTACACATCTATTTGGAAAACCTATTTTATTAAGTAACAAACTTTCAGCTTTAACGGACACCCCCTAAATTAACCCACTATATTAAGGTTTTACTGTATAGGTCTTCATTTATTTCTGTATTTTTTATGCACTACTATACATATGCTTGATAGTTTTATGCACTACGAATGATGCTTAACAGTTTAGTATATATACTAGAGGCCCAGGGCACAAATTCGTGCATGGGTGGGGTCCCTTGGGGTGGCCTGTGGGGATCAGGCCCAGCTAATGCCACCAGCCTCGAAGTCCCAAAGCCCTGCCTGGCACCCTCTGTAGCCTGATGCTGCTCCCTCACCTGCTCTACCACTCTGTCTACAGAGTGATTGATTGGGGCTGGGACCCCACCCAGCTCCCTTAGCACCTGGGAGCCAGGAGGTGGCCCTGCCCCCTGCTGCTGCTACTGGTCACCATCTATGGGATGATGGGAGGAGTGATCAGGCCCCTGCTTGCACCTGCCTTGGCCTGGAGTGGCCCCCTTACCTGCTCTACCATCCCGTGGTGGTCCCACTCTCATGAGGGCCCATTGGGGCCAGCAGTACCTCTACTGCTGCCCACTGCCAGCACCATGTCACCCTTCATGTTCTGCGCTGCCCCCCTGGTGGTCAGTGTACATCATAATGAGTGGTCAAACTCCAGGTCGAACAATTGCATATTAGGCTTTTATTACATAGGATATATATATATATATTCTACATCCTAATAGATTCATATACCTTTTGTTATATTTATTTCTTATAGGAGCCATATTATTTTATTTTTATTATCAATGGTATCTGAAGATTTAACTTTCTGTCCTGGTGGTTTTGCTGTGTGGTTAGAGCATTGGCCCACAGATTGAAGGGTCATGGGTTCAATTCCCTGTCAAGAGTATTTACCTGGGTTGATCCCCAGTCCTGGTCAAACTCACTTTCTTTCTCTTTTCTCTCTCTCTCTCTCTCTCTCTCTCTCTCTCTCTCTCTCTCTCTCTCTCTCTCTCTCTCTCCTTTATTCCCTCCTTTTCACTCTCTCTAAAAAGCAATGGAAAAAATAGTCTCAGGTGAGGATTAAAAAAAAAAATTAACTTGCTGTTTTGGTTACTCTAGAGAAATGCTTTGTATATTAGTCTTATATCTAGCAAGTTATAGAAACTTTTAATGTGTTTCCTTCCTGATGGCCTACTTTCCCCTAGATTAGGGGGATATCTGAGAACTCTGGAGTGTAAAAACATTCATGCATCATTAAGAATGTAAGTGTGGGTTGGGGAGAAGGCAGGCAGATGGATCACCTCATCCCCTCCCAACTGTCAATAATGAGACAGGGAGGAATCTTCTCTGAAGTGCTGCTCACCCCTTTGGGAAGATAGACTGAAGGCCTTACAGGCTATTGTTGTCTTCAGTTTGGGAGCTGGTTCTTTCTAAGCCTTCAGGTTTTAGCTTACCTGTCACCTCTTCAATGACTACCTTATTATTGGAACCTGTCAACCCTCATCTATGTCTTCCCTTGTTCCCTATTACAGAATCCCATTGCCATCATGGTAAGTAATGATCACATTTTATGATTGCTTGTTTGATAAATTTCTATCTGTTCCCCCATCAATTGTGAGCTTCATAATGACAGGGAACAGGTTTGTTATTCTGTATTACTGGTTCTTCCCACTAAGCTCAATAAATACTTTTAGACTGAACGAATGAGTTAAATATGCCCAACATCTGCTTCAATTTTTAACGTTAACATGTATTGTATCAACATTTAAAAAATAATTACTAATATAATTTATTTTTGTTTTTACAAATGCCTTTTAAAATAGGCATTATTAGTCCCTATTTGACAAATGAGGTGACTAAGGCATGGGGAAATAACTAACATGATCTAAATTATAACTAGAAACCAGAAAAGTTGAAAACAGAAGCCAAATAATCTAACTAAAAATCTAATTTAAAAACCATATAACAAAAGAAAAAGAGAAAGAGGGAGGGAAGACAAAATAAAGGAAGAATGAATGGAGAAAAGTTCCTTCATAATTAGGGCACATCATCCCATTTATCCCGCTAAGAACTTCTTAGGTCTCACACTTTAAGCCCTTTAGGAAACCTCATACCTTCCTAAGACATTTCAAGCTAGGAGGCAAATTAAGAATACTTTTAAGCAACACTATTTTACGTGAATCATACAGAGTAGGAAAGAGAGAAGTTTGCAGTTATAGAATATGTTTCTTTTTCTGTGCTTCATTGCACCAGCATTAAACTTATGGGTAAAGTCAGGTCACATAATCAAGTCTGATAATTGTAAGAAGAACTTAAAATATGATTTAAGCTTCAATTTCAGGGTTTCAGTTGACTCTCTCATAAGTTTTCTGCCTTAGTCAACATAACACAAATCTTTGGTCTCTCTTAACATTTAAAAGCCACAGGAGACTATCTTCCCAGGTTTATTATAGTTATGAGGGTAGAAATAAAGTTACTTCCTATTGGAATCACTATTGAAAGAAAGAATAGGGCACTCAACTTGTGATTTTAATCAATGACATTACATGTTCGTTTCCTTTCTTTGTCTCTAGGTCTGGCGATGAAATGGTAATTTCCATTAATTCTGATTATCTGGCTTCATATTGTGAAGTTATGATAAAGAAAGGAATCCCCTACTGGGAAATTTTACTCTGTAGTAAAAGAAAAAAAAAAAATCCCCTAAGTCAGTGTTGGCAAACTCATTAATCAACAGAGCCAAACATCAATAGTACAATGACTGAAATTTTTTTGAGAGCCAAGTTTTTTAAACTTAAACTTCTAATGCCAATTCTTCAAAGTAGACTCACCCAAACTGTGGTATTTTGCGGAAGAGCCAAATTCAAGAGGCCAAAGGGCCGCATGTGGCTCTCGAGCCTCAGTTTGCCAACCACGGGCCTACGTTAACAATGCTATTTCTGTGCTTTAGAAGGCAAAACTACTTTCCGGCCAAAGGGTAATCCCCATATAAATGCTGATTGCTAGGTGAAACACACTGACAGAATGAAACCTCCTTATGGAGTCTATTGACACAAGAACTCTAAATTACTGAAAGGAACCACTCACCTCTTCCTGAACCCAAACAGAGTTATGCTCTGGTATTGATGAGATTCTGTCTGCTCCAGGAGGACACAGCAGATCATTCCCATTACAAAGTAGTTTATCCGGGATGGATGATGACGTCTACTACAGCTTAGGGATCACAACCGAAGGACTGGCACGTACCCATTACTGAGACGTCGTATTCTATCAGCAGCGTTGCTTCTTGTCCACACTGCTTGAGAATGCTCATGGCTTCAGCATGCGTGGTTCCCAGAAGTCGAATTCCATCCACACTGAGCAGCCTATCGCCAGGTTTAATGGTGCCCTCTCTGAAGGGAGAACAGAGGAACAGTCTCTAGCAATCCAGCACGGCGGGGCTTAGCATTAACAGTCACTTAGTCAACATGGTTCTTTCGTCCATGCTCTGCCATCCACCCCATTTGCATTTCCTTTTAAGCCTCAAGTGTGACAGTAGGAGAGTAAAGAGGTAGCCCCAAACAGAAAATTGCTGCAATATGAAAATCAGTAATAAGAGAATAACTATACATTAGCAAGTATCTAAGTCATCCACAGTTAATTCTTGGGGTACAAGAGTAATGAAGGCACATTTTCCTCTTCTGAATTTTTGCCCACATGTCTGAAGATGATTTATTAGAGTCCAAGAAATAGCATCCACCTATTTTCCCAAAGCCAGGTGAGCAGAAAAGCCTGCTAGTTCCATTCAATTTATTACCAGTGAACCCAAGCAGGACAGGAATGCTGGTGAAAAATTTCCCTAGTCTATAAAATTTCCTACTGATTTATAAGGCCATTTGGCGATCATTAAATTGATTCAGTTTCACATTCACGGGAAAAGTCAGACAAATACCATGCTCCCTGCTGGGACCACAGACACTCAGGGCACTGGAAGGGATCCCTCAGGACCTAGTGACACCGCTAGGGCACAGTTTCCCGATCATAACCATCCTGCCTCAGGGATGGACACAGAGATGAGAAAAACAAATGGGTGTGTGTGTGTGTGTGTGTGTGTGTGGGGGGGGGTGTTCCATGAGTCTAGGATTTGGGAAGAATAAAATGACTTCTTAACTATCTCTCAGCTATATAATGCTCTAAGTGCTTTGACTTTAAATGTTTATCTTAAATTATTTGATTTCCTTTAGTCCTACATTAATTTGGTAATTTGTTGCTCACAAATTAGCTTGCTTCTGACATTTCTATTGACTCCAACTCTAAATGGTAGTAAGCTATAAACGAAAAAGCATGAGAAGGGAAAATGCCAGGGCTGACTAGCAGACCCTGAGCAATGGATGAATGGATTACTCTGACACACATTTGCTGTGAAAGAGAGGCTAAGGGACTGTCTGGCTAACGTAACTAGACAACCCCAATTGCCTGTCTCGTTAGGCTTTTATTGCCGTTTTTATCTTTAGATACAATCAGTAAAGTGGGTAATCTTGGGAGGACACATGTGTTTACATTGTCCTCTAGGCAAGGGCATCCAGGGATTGAGTATAAGGATTCTGGTAAACTCCCGGGGTCTGCAGGTGCACAGACTTGTTTGGAAAGGTCAGGGAATAATTAGGGGCACTGCCTTCGACACCCCCCTAAGTCTCCCCTAAGTCGGAATTCCAATAAACAGGGCAGGTGGCCTTCCACACACTTCTCTTTTCTCAGAATGTCCTCCTCACAAACTTTCCAACCAAGTCTCATGCTTCCCCACAGGAAAAAGGCAACATTTCCCTGGAAAATGTGACTTTGTATTCTCTGGAAACGCATATATATTTTTGCACAAGTGGAAAACCAGTGTCTTCATATCCTCTTATTTTATATTAAATATTAATTATTTAAAAATATATGAGCTCATAGTATGAAGGAAAATAAACCTATGCTAGCTCTTTGATATCCTAGCTGGGAAGTCAGTAACCATGATGGGCCTCAGTTTTGTGGTCTGTAACTGTAGATACAAAGACTTCATTTCATGGGTGGTTGCGAGGATAAAATAAGGTAATGTCTGCCAAGCACTTTCTGGTTCATGGTAAATACAATGAGTAGTACTGATTGCTATCACCATTTCTATTGCTTAAGGAAAGGTTTTAAACAATTTTCCTGGTCTGAAACATGTGGGGTCAGGAGTTACCAGTGCATTTTTCTCCCACCTTTCTTTCCACAATATGTAATGGCAGGAGTTGTGTTCCCCCACCATTATGGGCTCCACTTTGCTGTGGATATGAATACAAAGGCAAGCATCCCCTGAGATATCTAAGTTGTGATTTTACTTGGGATCCCCCCAGGTTTATGAGATGAAAGCTAAAGGAGCTATCCTTCAGGTACTCAAATTAACCAGGTAAAGAAAGCACAGGAGACCAACAATACTTCCATTTTGTTAAAAATTACTTCCCTCTGACATTCATCATCAAAGGGACTAATAATAACGATAAGGATGTCGCTGATAGTAAGACTCGGACCACTACCACCACCTGTCTTTCCAGGTCAGGAGATTAGCAATTGGAGCTGATGCCCCTCAAGTGCCTGCCTTCAAGGGGCCAGCTGCCTTTTATCCCAGAGCCACAGCAGGGCCAGTCCCCTGCAATGCACCCGCAGCAACAGTCGTTGACAAAACGGGAGACCCTGAGAGTTAGCTGTTATCTCCCTTTTCACAAAGGAGGAAGCTGAGCCCAGAACTGTTGAGCCACTTGCCAACGACAGGTCAGTAAGTGCGGCATCTAGAGTCAAGCCTTTCTTTTGGATTCCGCAGCCTAAGCTAATTCCCTTTTCACATTCTCATAGATTCAGTTACTATCTGTCTTCTGCTCTGAAATTTATAACCCATCAACGTCTCTGCCAAAGTCCCTAAGCTTTATTAATCTGTTTGGATAGTGACACAGGAAGATGGAGCTTACCTGTCAGCAGGCCCTCCAGGACGAACACATGTTATCACAACGGGACGAGATTTATTTCTGTCATCGTGTGCTCCCCCTGGCAACGAAAAGAAATACAGCTCCTTTCACAAAAACCTCCACTTACAAATGCCAGCTGAGGACTTGTGTTGATGTGCAGAGGAAAATGCAAATGTTTTCTTCTGGCATACAGTGACCTCAAAAATCTTACTCATTTTACATAGAGTGTTTTAGAAGTCATCATTTCTTCACCTCTCAATAAATACACGACTGTAATTACAGGTGACATAAAATATTGACCTCCTAGTGTGACAAGAGCCTCAGCGCATTATCAAGTCTTAGCCGATGAGAGCAGCTGCCAGTTATGAACCAAGGGCCGGTGGGGGTACCTGGTGCTAATGAGCCGGGGCTGGGATGCAGACCTGGTGAGCAGGTCTACAACCTGACATACAGGAAGAAAAACCTGAAGTAAAAGAAAAGCGTCCAAGCATTTAAAAAAGAAAGACAAAAATTCAAGGGGCTGAAGTGGCCTCCGTGGAACTGGCATGTCCAAAATCCCGGGGGTAGATATGGCAGACTATTTCAAGCCAATCACAAGGCTAAATGGGAATTTTAACTTTGTATAAAATATAATAGTTCTCATCAATAATTTTTGGAAACATAGAAGCTTTGAGATAGAAGGTAATTTATTGAAAGTCTTCCTTTTATCTAGGATGTCTTTGTACAACTTGTGTAATCTGTGCTCCCCCGGCATCCACTCGAGACCCACCCTGATTGGAGGCAGCCCATTCCACATACAGATAGACACCAGAAGGTTCTTCTTAACATTCTTTTATCTAGCTTCCTTCAACTTTTATCCTTGCATCTCTGTTCTGTTATCTACGGCAGTAAAAGAAAAATGTATACCTACAACCAGCCAGTGTGGCTCAGTGGTTGAGTGCTGACCTATCAACCAGCAGTTCACAGTTCCAGTCTTGATCAGGTCACATGCCCAGGTTGAAGGCTTGATCCCCTGCAGGGGGCATGTGGGAGGCAACCAATCAATGATTCTCTCTCATTATTGATATTTCTCTCTCTCCCTCCCTTTCCCCCTCTGAAATCAATATATATATAAAGTATACTCTCTCCTATAACAAGTGTTTTCTGAAAGTTGAAATCAATGATTATACACCTGTTAAGTCTCATCTTCTTAAAGATGAACATTTCCAGTTTCTTAACTGTCCTTCATCTGACCTGACTTCCTCATCCATCATCACCCTGGCTGCCCATCTGGGTAGTCTCTAGCTTGCCATTATGTGATTTTTATGAATGTTACTGCCAAGGAGATGTTCCTTAATGTCTTCCTGGTAGAACAGACTGACATTTCCCAAGCTTGGCACAGGTAGGGAGGTCAACTTAAAGAAAGTAAACTGATGAACAAAATAGATCCAGAGACATAGAAGCATGGGATAGACTGTTGAACCTCAGAGGGAAGGGGGTGGGTGGGTGGGTGGGAAGAGATAAATCTATGAACTTGTATGCATACATGCATACCCCATGGACACAGATAATAGAGTGGTGAAGGCCTGGGGCAGGGCAGGCTAGAAGGGATGAGTGGGCAAAAAGGGGGACATATGTAATACTTTCAACAATAAATATTTATTTTTTTAAAAAGAACCTAGCCTCAGAGAAAAATACTATAAGGTAACTTCTCATTTGCAAGGTGATCTTTAAAAGATAGGTTTGCTTTACCCAGAAGCAGCATTGACTTAGGAAAGGATTGGGTCTGAAGACAGCAAGAAACCTTGCCACAATTTTGATTTGGAGGTCTAACTTCAAATATATATCAGCGAATGCATGCCAAAGTATGAGAGAGATAGCTCTAAATTTCGTGATATGGGACATTTTATCAGTACTTGAAATGATGAACCCAATTTAGGCACTGGGTTAGGTTCCAGAAGTTTGGTGATGCCAAGCAAAACAGAAACCACTCAGAGACCAGTGGTACCCTTAATACTGGCTGCACACTAGCATCCCCACCTGGGATATTTTTGTATAAGTATCAATACCAGGCAGGGCCACAGTGCAAACCAAATCTAAATATCAGGCTCCATTCATTATACCTACAATGTCATAGTTGAGAATGACTAGAAAAAGTTTCCTTGTCTAAAGTGAAAAGTAACTTATGGCAGAGTGATATTCCCACTGGCCCAAACCGACTCCTGTAGCTTGGTGGTGAGGGAATTAACTGAAACTTAATTCTCCTAGATGTAGGCTGAAACATCATTTTTCATCTTATGGATGAAAGCTTCTATTGTTTGGTGAGTCAAGGTTTTAGAACCTGTGACATACCATTAGAAATGTTATTATATTCAGTAACTCAAAGCTGCTTTTATTGTTCTAAGACCCATTTTAATTGGTTAAGAAAGAATTCTTCTGAACTAAATGAATATGCTCCATATGCAAAATCTTTCTCCCCTTTCTGAATGTCCTGGTCGACTTCCATTGATTTAAGTTTAGCTCAATACTTATGCAACTGCAAACTATTATCTGCCATGATGACATTTACCCACTTTCTCACTCTTTTTGTGATTAACCAATTCTTTTCGTGATTAGCCAATGATTCCTAAAAGGTGGATGGTGGCCCCCTTTTTAGCATGGAGGACCTGCCAGACAGATCTCAAACTGATAGAAGTTGTTTATTTGTCCTTCATTGAGAAATTATGCAAAAAAAGTTTAACAAACTTTTCCATTTAACCAATGTAGTAAGGGAGTTATGAAAGCCTACAAAAATGTGTCACTCATAAACTAAAATGGGTTCTTTAAGGGAAAGACAAATATCACATGTTCTCACTTATGTGAGCAAAATAAACTGACGAATAAAATAGGTCCAGAGGCATGCATGCATGGAACAGACTGACATCTCTCAGAGTGGAGGGGAGGAGAGGATAGGAAGAGATTAATCAGAGAACATATATGCAAATATGCACAGGCAGGAGTGTGGAGAAGGCCTAGGGTGGGACAGGGAGTTGGGTGGAGGAGTACAAAGGGAGGGAAATGGGAGACATCTGTAATCCTGTCAACAATAAATAAATTTAAAAAATCAATATAATACTAAGAAATCTGATGTCCACATAAATCTAGGCAACATTCAATATTTATTCCTTCATTTATTAAGTGCCTGCAATGTACCAGGTAGTATTCCAGCCTCATTCAAAAAGACTCTTACGAGGAAGGCACACACAGATAGATGTTTGAAATTCCTGCAAATTGTGTGAAGGAGAGTTTGTTAACATTACATCATCAGTTATCTTGAAGTGGCTGTGGATTTCAATTACTTTTTTTTTTTTCCAGTTCTTGATGCTAAATTACTGTTGGTTTAGCTTTTTCATTAGCAATTTGATTGGTTATTGATTAACCATACAGCAACTAGTGATAAATATTTGAACCAGCAGTACTTTCGCTGCAGCTTTCCAATAATTAGGCATGTAGGCATGTGAGCAAGTGCCTCCTTTCACACCTATATTGCAGAAACAGATTTGTATACACTACCTCGTGCTAAAATTACTTGTAAACGGACTTTTCATTACATTAATCTAGTTCTTTTACACAGAAATTTGGATATGGTTAAGGCAAAAGATGAGGGTAAATTGATCTTCTTGTTTCATCTAAAAATAGGACCTGGTCAGAAAAATGCAATCACCACTGGTCTAACCCATTCAGTGAGCTCCTCATTGCCCATTTTCTTTACCACTTACTTGGGCACTTTATCAACTTATGTCTAAAATTCACTGAGCTGTAATTGACTGTAGATAGGGGTCCTGTCTTATGACTCTAGAGTACTTGGCTGACATGTTGATGAATCTTTAATAAATATTTGATTGATTGATTTGCTCCATGACTAACACAGAATGAAATCTAATGCTTAAATCTAAGGCTCAGTCATTTAAGGTAAGTCTATAGGACTGAACACATATCATTTTTTCCTTGATGTTTGTTAAATTTATTAAGATACTTAGTTACTTTTAATTAATGTTTTAATAAATTGGGTATAATTTTGACTTTGATGACATACATGTAATAGATAAAAATAAATCAAGAATCGTAAAAATCTTTAAAGATTCATGATGCCTATATAGTTCCCTCACTTTCACACTAGGATTTATGAGTTGTTAATGCCTGTGTAGTCTTTAAGAAATAAAGCTGCTAATGAGGAAAATAGAATGTTAAAATCCAAAATTACAGCTCAGAATTAAGGGTTTTATAAATAAGTTGGAATCACTCAAAATCTTTATTATTAATGTCATCTCATCCCATAATAAGATGAGTTAAGCTGATGTACAAAGGTGCCGAAGGGATTAGATTATCAATTTAGAAAGTTATAACAAAATGTATTTCAGGAGAATAAAAGTTGCTTAATCCTAGTGTATTAAATCAAATTAAGTCATACTTATCACATCAACGTTTTTTTCCCCAAGGGAAATAATCTTTAGTTAGATTATAAACTCAGGGATTTATGACAACAACTTTTTAAAAATTTTTGTTCTTTATTTTTAAAAAAATTTAAATTAGAGTATAGTTAAATGTACAATATTATATTACTACAATATTGTACATTAACTATACAACATAATTACTCAACATCTATATACTTAACAAATTTATCACATTAGTAAGGGCAATAATAATCTGGCACCATGCAAAGTTATAACAATATTACTGACTATATTCCCTATGCTTTACATTACATTCCTGTGACTGAATTCTTTCATAATTAGAAATTTGTTCTCCTTATTCCACTTCTTTTTGCTCATCCCCCTATCCTCTCTCCTCTGGCAACCATCACTCATCTATGGTTTTGACTCAGTGATATAGAAAAGCATAAAGGGAAGGTAAAAGGTGTATTGAAAAGTGGCAAATAAGAAGGATGATTGTGAACAGATAAGGTTTGTAGACATGACTTCTTGGCTCTGTGTTAATAGGCTGAAAATAAAGCTAGGTCATTTGGATTCCACTTTGATTCCCACTCACTGCTGCTTTATTTCTTTAAAGAAAATGAGCTATCAGGCAAAACAGAGATAGATTCATTGATAGAGAGCTGGCTGACAGCTGTCAAGGGGTGGTGGGGGGTTGGGGAGATGGAGGGATTGAGCAAAAAAAGAAGAAAAAGAAGAGAAAGAGCTTATGGATATAGACAACAATGTGGTAATTGTTGGGGCAAGAGGGGTTGGGGGGAGGGAAAGGAGAGCCATAGGGGGATAACTGATGATGGAAGGAGTCTTGACTTATGAACATATAATACAGTTTATAGATGATGTGTTATGGAATTGTGTCACTGAAACCAGTATAATTTTGTTAACCATTGTGATCCAATCTATATTCTTAAAAAGCCAGTGACCATAACATCATAACGACAGGAACGATCTGTTGCTATTATATAACACCCACTGCAGCCAGCGAGCTGGCCCAATTGGGAGATGGAGCCAGCTGGCCAACCTCCCTTTGCTCCTTACCCCAGCCGGCCCCGCCCCTGATTGGCCTCTCTCACCCTGATCTGGGGGCGGGGCTTGCAGCCAACCTCCTGCAGCCCCTCTCCCCAGCTTGCCCTGCGAACAATGGGTCCCCACCAGGTCAATCAGGAGCGGATCCAGCGGACCAATCACCCATGGCACCTCGCCCGAGTTGGCCCAGCCCTGATCAGCCAACCTTCCACCATCTCCTCCTCCCCACATGCCCGGCATCGGATCAGCCAATTGGGGTCAGGCCAGCTGGACCCCACCCATGCACAAATTTATGCACTGGGCCTTTAGTTAATTCAATAAAAAAGAAAGAAAGAATGGGTGCAAATATTACAAGGCAACTCTATATGCTGGAAAGATCAGTGTTTTTGAGAATGACTTTCTAGTTCACTCGCTATATATATCACTGACAAATTCTCCAAGAATATTTGACAGTCTATTAAACCATCACCTACCTCGTATTACAAAACCAAAGGTATTGCCTTCTTTATGCAATGTGACCTCCACTGTTCGGAAAATAACACTCGATCCTTGGACAGCTGAATGTAGAAAAGAGACAGGCAAACATAAGTTTATGTCATAATAACATTTCTATAGTATTTGATGTGGCATATAATATTGCAGATTTCTGTTGCAAATAATTATTGCTTTGAGTAATAAAACAGCAATAATTGGTTTTCAAAGAAATGTTAGAAAAAATAACTGGAATAACATACAAATACCACAAAAGAGTCATATGTACACACGAATCATATAAATTCGAGTGGAATCAAAATCACAGGCATTTCTTTTTCTTTTGTGTAGCCAATTTCTAGGTAGAGGGTAATATTCACATTGTTAAAACTCTATAGAACAAGAGAGACACTCCATATGATAAATAGAATTGTTTTTCCTTTGTGAAAAGCAAAAACAATGTAATTTTGGTCAAACTAATCAAACAAGTAATGTATTTATTTTTGCAGGTAGCAAAGGAAGAAAAAGTAATATTCTCAAATTGCTATTAAAAGATTAGGCTGATACAAATAGATTTTTTTTACATAATGCAAAGGAATTAAACAAAAGTATCACAACACAAATGAAACTTGGAGAGCAAAAGAAATCCTAAGTACATTCAAAATATTACTACTGACTAATAAAATAAAGATTCACTTAATTTTATTTGATATCATGTTTGCCTGTTTATTGCTTTCATTTCACAATATGAAATTACATTTTCAAGTTGCAATCTCTAATTATATTACAGACAGTATGAGCTTATAAATTATATGAAGGTGTGGTCACTACACTATTCTCTAAGACTTTTTTTTTTTTTTAAACTGGTGAATAATTCTGTTATATAGTACACTATTGATGGATTAAAAACAAAAAAATCCACAAATTATCACTTCATCATTATAAAAATGGTTTTACTCATGGAGACAGAAGTTTGCAAAGTATGGAATTTGATGGTCTCAGATTCTTGTATTAAATTTTTACAATGATATCTAATTATTTAATGTTATTTTCATGGTCAATGACATTTTTACATTGTTACTAGATTTTGAAGGCTATATTGTATAAAACTATCGATAGGAAATATATAGACATGATTTAAGACATTTAAAAAATAATACTTCTTGCCATTACAGAAATAGGAGATAGCTTTAATTATTAATTATAATTATTTGATTAGAAATTCTGAATCCTCAAATGAATGGACATGATTGTGTAAAGCATTCAGCTAAATTCACAAAACTGCACACATCTAGCTGGGCATAAAGTCCAATAAGAATTTGGATTTGCTGAAAAACATAAACCTGCAGCTGACCAAATGTTTCTGTGCATTGCTGATTTAATTAAATGTCATATTCTTGCTCTCAGGGGAATTTCATTTTATTCTAATCAGCTAGGTCAGTACATTCAACTAGCTGAAACCATTGAGATACAGATTTAATTAAATTAAAAAATTTGAGTTCAAACCAAAAAAATTTTTTTTTCTTATTTCTATAACCCACTTTTAAGAAACTGATTAAACATATGAACTTTTTGTTCTATTGGAAAGGGATAAAAGGAAAAGATACTGGGAGAAATAATTCATGAGCTTCTACCATGTGCCAGGAATCCTGCAAAGTAGTTTGCAAATATTATTTCACTTAATCATTAAATCAACTTTCAATTATATACAACTAAATCTAATTCTGGGCCACCTGTCCTTGTTGGCTGAGTGTCTGCTATGGAAGGCGAAGCACTGTAATTTTAATTTTGCTTGAGCTAATTCTAGCTGACCACCAAATCTTACAATCAGATCTAACATGAATATCTACAATTTTAGGTTATCTACAGTACTGATGCTCATTATTTACAAAGGTCAATAATTTTAATACACTTAATGAAATAGATTTGGTCTTTATCATTTTTTTATTGATTTCAGGTATAGGAACAGAGAAGGAAAGATAGAAATATCAATGATGAGAGAGAATCATTGATCAGCTGCCTCCTGCATGCCCCCTACTGCAGATTGAACTTGAAACCCAGGCATGTGACCTGACTGGAAATTGAACTTAGACCTCCTGATTCATAGGTCAATGATCAACCACTGAGCCACACCAGCCAGGCTGATCTTTATAATTTATTTGTATAATGGGTTCTGGGTGACTACATTTTTATATTCAGAACCAAGCTATTTTATATTGCCATGTGAATTTTACTCATTACTTAACATATATGTATGCATACATAAACACCCAATTAAATGGTTTTCCCCAAAGAATCATATCTGATACATAGGGGTAAGGTAGAAGCCAATTTCACAATGAAGAAATACTTTTCCTTGGTATTTTAGTTCAACTGTTGTCCTTTATTTCTATATGTACTACATGTGTATTCATATTAATTTACTATGGTAAATTAGATTTTTCTAAATTATACTACTTCCCTGGCTTCTCAACTCCTACCTGAACAGGAGAATCAGAGTTGTGTCTTTCCCACCTCATTATATTAGGCCTGCCCACGTGACTTATGTTGGCCAATGGGATGTTAAAAGTGTGAGCAGTGATTGCAAGTGTTTTCCTGCGGCCATTGCCACAGGAAGAGCTTTCCCTGGGAGCTGCTGCTCCTTCAGACTTAACCCCAGAATGATCCGGTGGAAGAGACCTGAGACTGCTTCTGCCCACCTCCACCACCACCACCACCACCACCACCACCACCACCCCCATCTGTCTCTCTTAGAATAAGAATTGAGAAGTAAGGAGGCTGTCATGCTTCAACACATTTATTCGAATTAATGAAGAACTCCTGATAGAAAGGTAGTCTGAGTTAGCTGATGGTTTACCAGTGAGGATTGCCTTTGCCAACCCTCTGTTGTATTTTCCATCAAACAAGACATATTCCATAAAATATATAGCTCTAAGTTTCAATAAAAACTGCACGTAAGTCATATAAAGAAAATCATGCCAAAATTTAAATCTTAAAAATAAAATTTAAATCTTTTTGAAGCATTTAAACTTTATGGATAAAGAATTTTAGGTGTTAACTAAAAAGATGGATGAGGGTTATAGAATATTTCAAAATTCTTTAGGGATTATATGAATGACAAATTTGAAGATACTGCTCTAGACTTTAACACTGATACTATTTGGGATTTTCTTTCTAAATACTGCCTCAAACCATCACATAATTTTAAAGTCAAAACGAACTTTAGAGCTCATGTAGATGGGCCATTTCATTTTCATAAAGACAGTGAACCTTGCCCTAGCCAGGTGGCTCAGTAGATTAGAGCGTCATCCCATACACCAAAAGGCTTCAGGTTTAATTCCTAGTCAGGGCACATATTTAGGTTGCAGGTTCAGTCTCTACTCTAGGCACGTAAGGGAGAGAGCCAATCAATGATCGACGTTTCTCTCACCTCTCTCTCTCTTCCTCTATCTCTAAAAATCAATAAAAACATATCCTCCAGAGAGGACAGAGAAATTAAAAAGAATGGGAATCTTTAAAAAGGTAAGTGGTTTTCTTTCATGAAAGTTCCATCTTTCATCCATCAGATCACACACACACAACCTTCCACTTTTTTCCAGACTCAGGGGTAGGGGGTGAGGGTGGGGGTTGGCTGAGGCTCAGGTTGCTGTGATCAGTGAAGGAGTTAGCAGTCTGGGCCTCAGGCAACCTGTCTTCAGCAGCCATCTCCTCGGGGCCTCACTGGTGGCGGCTTGCTCCTGCTCAGGCTGCCTGAGCGCAGCAAAGGGGAGGCGTATTTATTCCTTCAACCTCGCTGAACACAAAGATCTTATTAATTTATCCAAACATAATAGAAAATGACAGAGATAATCCTTGGAGAATAGACCTCTCCTATCCTATCTCCTCTAAAATTCACACTTTTGTGTTTAAAAATAATTTCCCCCATTTCCCATCAGACTTATTGCATGCAGAAGGAAAAGCTGGTACAATCACCAAGTCATGATGGGTTTTAACCCCGATATGTCTGATACCTCCCCTCTCCCCTTTAACTCTACCGATGCTGTATTTATTCAGGATATCACCTCTCTTTTGGAAAACTATAATAGCCTTTGGCTTACAGCTTCTGATATTTTCTCCATTTGGGTTTTTAAAAGTCTAAAAACTCAGATCTGGTGATGCCGTTTCTTGGCTTTATGAGATTTCAAAGGCTCTTCACTGCCTACTTGATGCCCATCCAAGATCCACTCCCACGGCCCCATTGTTGCATTCCTGTTTCTGTTGCTGCCTCAGTCCTCTCAGCCCTCCAGGCCTCTCTGTTTTTCTCTGTGGGCTCCTGCAACTCCAATCCGGGTGTAGTTCAAACCGTGCACTGGGCTGTGTCCTGACCTCCTTGCATTAAGCTCTGCCTCGGAAGTTCCTCTTCCCACTGGACCTGCATAACCTCCTTCAGATCTCCCCAGAAATGCCCAGCTCTGGATCACCCACAAACTTGGCAAATCTCGTCTGCCAACCCTAGCCCCGGAAAGCTATCCTAAGAGTTCCTTTTAGGAAGAGATTGTGTTTTATTGATTTTCATATCCCCAGTGGAGTAAAAAACGCTAAATCAAAGAGCATTAGCTTTGGATATCTGGCTTCTCTGAACTCCTTGGCATTGGTTTGAAGTAGTGATTTTAAACCAAACAGACTCTTTTAAAGTTCAAGAAAACATAGTACTTTCAGTATAATAATAACAAAAGTGGTAATAATCACTAACGTACTATGGCCTATTGAATACCTGGTAATGACCTAAATATTTTACGAGATTATAGCCTTGAATTCTTCGAAAAATTTTACATCTATTATAGCTATTTTGTAAACTCCAAGGCTCGGAGTTTAAATAGCATGTCCAAGGTCATGGTGGGGAAAAACTGACACTTAAGTAGTGACACAGTCCAAGCTCTCTTCACTGGATGTTATTGCCTACCCTTGCTGTATACAAAAGACGTTGGCAAGGGTTTTGAACACAGACTTCTATTGATTTAGTTATAAAATCACTGTTGAAGTTTTGGTGTTAGACTTTATATTAAGTACAAGAACTGATGATTGGTTATGTATTCTCACTCCCCGAATGCTGTCATCTGTTCCCAGAGCTTCAAACACCACCTGCATTCTCATTAACCTTAAATTTACATTTCCGGTCCAGATCTTTCTCCCGAACTCCAAGCCAGACCTCCAGCTCTTGACATTTCTTTTTTGCATGTCAAATAGGCACCTCAACTGCAGCATTTTAAGCAATGAACTTCTGACTTTTCCCTCGCAAAGCCACTCTGCCCATCTTCTCAGCCACCCCATTGACGGCAACTCCATCCTTCGGTTGCTCAGGCTCAATGGTCCTTGACTCTATTTCTGCACAACCCACATCAACTCTGTCAGAAGATCCTGTTGGATCTGCCTTCATAATAGATCAATAATGTGATGGGGTCTGGTCGATGTGGCAGATGTGGCTCGGCTGGTTGAGTGTCAGACTGTGCACCAAAAGGTGACTGGTTCAATTCCCAGTCAGGGCCCAGGCCCAGGCCCAGGTTGTGAGTTCGGTCTCCTATTGAGTGCATGCAGGAGGCAGCCGATGGATGTTTTGCTCTCACATCAATGTTTCTCTTAACCCTCTCCCTTCCTTTATCTATTAAAATCAATAAAAATATTTTAAAAAGGAATGTGATGGTGTTTCTCTACTACCACCTCTCACCTGGATCACTGTGATAGCCCCCCAACTGGTGTCTTAGCTTCTACCTTTGCCGGGGCAAAGGTAGACAGAGCAGCCAGAGGGAGCCTTTGAAAATATAACCAGGTCATGTCACTCCTCTGCCCCTATATCATTCGGAGCAAAATTTAGGGTCTGTCCAATGGTCTAAAAAAGCACCTCCTCCTTTACATTTCTGCCAGCTCTCCTACTTCTCTTCATGCTCACTCTGCTACAGCCACCCGGCCCTTCCTAATGTTTTAATGTTTCTAGAACAATTCCAGATATATTCCTGCCGGTGGATCCTGGCAATGGCTGATCCATCTCTCTTCAATTCTCTCCCCCCTGAAATCTACACAGCCAACTTTCTCATCTTCAGTCACTGACTAATGTCACTTTCCCAGCGAAGCTGTTCCTAACTTTATTTAAATTGCAATCCCAGGCCAGCACTCGGACCCCTCTCCTTGGTCTTCCTTTTTCCCACGACATTCATGCTATATAGTTAACTTATTTACTGTAGTTTTATCTTGTTGTCTGTCTCCCCATTTGAGGGTAAACTCCACCAATGTACATAGTGGTGGCTAGAACTTAATAAATGCTCAATAAATTATTGCTGAACAAATACATTTTAATTGAGTATTAATATTCAGACTAAGTTTTCACCAGGACACAAAAGCAAAGAATTTTCTCAGGATAGCATCCATGGTAATAGCTTAATAGTAGTAGAGGTGCCCTGGCTGGTTTGGCTCAGTGGATGGAGGATGGCCTGTGAACTGAAGGTCCCAGTTCAATTCCAGTCAAGGGCATGTGAAGGATGTGCAGGAGGCAGCTGATCGATGTTTCTCTCTCATTGATGTTTCTAACTCTATTTTCCTCTCCCATCCTCTCTGTAAAAAATCAATAAAATATATTTTAAAAAATAGTAGTGGAGGTGGTTGTAGAATAGCATAGCTTAAAGGTAGGCAGCAGTAACACACAGCATAAGGTATACCTCACACTGAAGAAGCATATGGACTTTGGAGTCAGGAAGCCTGAGTTCAGGTACTGACTTTGCTGCTTATTAATATGGGAAAGATATTAACTTTAGCCTCTGTAGAATGAGAATAATAATGATAATAATGCCTATCATGAGTGTTGATTAATTTGTATATTATTTACCAAAAATGTTTATTGTTCTAAGTGCATTACAAATACTCGTTTAATCCTCATAACAGACCTATGAGTAGTAACTAACATGCCCATTTTCCAGATGCAGAAACTGAGACCCAGAAAGCTTAAGTAACTTTCTCAAAGGCATATGGCAGTAAAAAGTGGAGCTGGAATTCTAACATGACAACTGAATCTGGAGTTGAGCTCTGCTATGCTGGCTGTCCTTGTGGTGAGAAATAAATGTATCAATGCAAGTTAGGTTCCAAATAATGTCAGACATTTATAAGTTCTCAAAATGTGTTGGCTGTTCTTGTTACATCATCATTATTATTATTTGACAATAATGTGTTCTAAATCAATTTTCATCCTTCAGAAATTAAGGTAACAATAATCAACATAAAACATAATAAATATGCTTTTCCTAAACATCCACACTAAGTACAAAGTTTGGCTGGAACTTAACGCACAGAACTTACAAAGATGTTTACTGTTTATTAAAATAGCTTAACTGGCATATACATGTTCACAGATCACCTTAATAGAAAGTGGGTTCTATGTAATTTCACTGACATCTACATGCTTTTCAATACTTCCTGAGCAGGTTATAAGCTTATCAATTCAAATAATTACTATCATTATTATTATTTTTAATCCTCATCTGAGGCTTATTTTCCCATTGATTTTTATTTTTTTATTTTATTTTATTTTTTAAAATATATTTTATTGATTTTACACAGAGAGAAATTGAGAGGGACAGAGAGTTAGAAATGTCGATGGGAGAGAAACATAGACCAGCTGCCTCTTGCACACCCCCCACTGGGGATGTGCCCGCAACCAAGGTACATGTCCTTGACCGAAATCGAACCTGGGACCCTTCAGTCCACAGGCCGATGCTCTATCCACTGAGCCAAACTGGTCCCGGCTTCCCATTGATTTTTAGAGATAGTGGAAAGGAGAAAGAGAGATAGAGAGAAACATGGATGTGAGAGAGACACATCAATTGGTTGCCTCCCACATGCCCCCCGACCAGGGCTGGGAGCCTGCAAGCGAGATATGTTCTGGAATTGAACCCGGGACCCATCAGTCCCCAGGCCGACACTCTACCATCTGAGCCAAATTTACTAGGGCTCAAATAATTTTTATAATTCAAGAAACTATACTCTGCTATTCCAGTAATGAGACAATGATGGCAAAAAGGAACAAAAAAACAACAACAACGTTTTAGGCAAAAACGTGGTGTGGCCGTTCTGCCTTGGTGGCAGTTACTTACAGACTGGCGGCAGCTCGTACTCGACTTCCAGAACCACCCTCTCCCCGACATTCTTCAGCAGACTGATGATCTCATCATGGCGAAACTTGGCCAGGTTGATCCCATTCACGGCTTTGATGTAGTCACCCACGTCCAGCTGGTCACTCCTACAAAACAGGGGGTACCGCCTCAGTGGACCCGTCCTCTCCACAGGCCCATTCGACTGCATGTCCATGTCCCCTTCCTGATGATCACACAAGGCCAGCAGCAGTCCCGGCCTCCTGGGCTGTGGCTGGTCCTCAGAGTGGGAATACAGCCAGGTGGATGAGAGAGTCCATGGGCCCCCTTACTCTTGCTGACTGTTATAACCTTTACAAGTCTTACTTTGGATTTGTGGCTGACTCTGATTTTTCCCCCAACCTGTGCCTCTTCTATTTTTAGAGAGAACCATGAAATAAAATACAGAGTGTGTGTATATATATATATATATATATATATATATATATTTAGTTGCTCTGTCCATCAAGGGTTGGTTTTCTAGGCAGTAGATTATCAGATCCTGGACACACCGGCATTTTTTCTTTAACATTTTTCCCTATTTTTGCTACCTGTCTTTTGGACATGGCACAGCTTTCAGTATCTTCACTGGGAGTTTGCTAAAGAAAGCACAGCTTGTTTTGCTATGTATAGCTTACAACGTGAGTGATAAAGAAGCGCATTGGTGAAGGAGAAATTACAACAAAAATCCTAGGTTTTGGTAACATTCTTGTTTCTCTTTACCACCATCGTAGAACCCCGGTTACTTGTGGGCTTTTCGTCAAACTCTACTTGTAAGCCAAGAGCAAACAGCGAGACAAATGATAGGACTTAAAATTAGGGCCTTCAATAATATTTTTCTCCCCAAAAAGAAGTACCGAATTCATTGATTTTATATAAGTTCAGCCCCAATCATTCCTTTTTTAGCAAGCTTCCCAATCCGCTGCAGCCTGCTGAACATGCTGCGGAGGCTACCTCGGGTTTACCGCCACTCACTGGGCAACTTAAGCGCTGACTGCTCTGTGGCAACTCCTGTTGTCCTTTTCACTGTGACACATGTTATTATTGCTCAATGTTTTTATTATTGAACTTTTCATGTTTTCTACTCCGTATCTCCTCTAAGTCCCCTCAGGGCAGAGACCTTATCCTAAATTAGTTTGGTTTACTATCTATAAATGTTGGTGCCTTAAACAGGGAATGTTTGGTGACTGATAATACTCAATACAACTGGCACAGCACTACTAGTAATTACAGCATCAATACAACTGCCAGTGGCTCCCCCCACTCCCCCTACACACACACACACACACACACACACACACACACACACACACACCGCCACTTGCTTCACACGAAGCTCTGGAGACGTACACAGCCCGAGCATCACAGACTGGCCAGGACTGTTACAACAAAGGAGGCTGTGCGGGTGAGGAAAGACATTTTTTAAAAGCCCGAAAAAAGGAAATTAGGATGCTCGTGTCCACACCGGCCTGTTTTACAAACAGTACCTCGGATCATGGAGCAATCAATGGGACTAAGCTTATAAATTAATTGTACACACAGGTTCACCATCTGGGAGTAATCACTATTTCAAATGACACTTTATAAAGAAAGCACTCTAAAACCTCATTGGTGGCTATGTGGGCAAAAGAATTGGTGTCCAGGACTTAAGGTACACGAACCTCACTTTGAAGGAAACCTGACCATTCCATCCCCTCTCCCGGAGGAGGATTTTAGAATCTGTCTACAAAGCAAGCCCACTCCTGCCCAGCATTCAGGACTTGCTGCCTTTGGCAGTCACTCACACAATCTGCAGCTCGAGGGGAATGAGCACAGAATGAGACCTGCTCGCTGAAGCCTGCTGTCCTTGTGTAGATCACCTCTATGTCTGATGAGAAGGGAGGTCCCACACGTGGAAAACGTGGAGAAGATGCCAGACCCGCAAAACTGCCCCACACAAGCTCAGAGTCGGGCCTGGCCATGTCCTCTCTGGATCATCTATTCCCCACGTACGTGACCAAAGGGTCTCATCCCCGCCACACCCCACCTGTGTTCAGTGGCACATTTGGGGACTGCAGCCATACAGGGGTTTTAATATTCAAATCTCAAGAGGGCCTGGCCGCTCCTGAGATGACCTCCCTGGTGACTTGGGCACAGGCAAAAAGTCACACTCTGAACCACACCCCACCGCACTTCTGCCCCATGCACGGCAGCTGTCATTTATTAATCAGCGACCTTCTCTGGGGGAGCTTTAGTGTTTGCGTTCATCTCACCCCGTGTCCCTTTGTCCACACTTCCCCGAGAGGAGTTACCTGGCTGCAATCCCTCCCTGCCGCAGGTTAGACACTCTCGGCTTGCCGTCCTTATCCACGCCGCCAGACACGGTCAGGCCCAGGGTGGTGCCTTCCTTCTTCATCAGCTCCACGAAGGTGGAGCCCTTGAATTCCTCTGTTGGGAAAGAAAAGCACTGGCCTTATGAAATGAATTAGCAACACAAGAGGTTTTGTGTGTGAGGAACGGACGCCTCCCCAGGAGCTCTTGCCAAGCTCTCTTTTATGTGCAAAGATGGGTGGCCTCTTTTCACTGCAATTTGCAGAGTGCCTCATAAAGATTGCATGCAGATAGTCCATTGGAGGTTATTAAAATGGGTACCAGTGGGACAGTTCACTCTAGGTTCACAATAAATGGTCCCACATGGCTTATGTACAAATGATCCTCGTCGCCCTTTGTTTTCTGCCATTCTCACGTGGGTTTCTCTGGTTTCTCTCGTTGTAACTCTAAAGGGAAACGAGAGCTGTAAAGAAGGGGCTAGACCCATGGTTGGCAGAGAGCGGCTCGTGAGCCACATGCAGCTCTTTGGTCCCTTGAGTGTGGCTCTTCCACAAAAATACGGGGCGAGTCTATTTTGAAGAAGTGGCATTAGAAGAAGTTTAAGTTTAAAAAAGTTGGCTTTCAAAAGAAATTTCAATCTTTGTAATGTTGATATTTGACTAATGAGTTTGCTGACCACTGGGCTAGACCATTCTATATAATAAAAGGCTAACATGCAAATCAACTGAACAGTGGAACAACCAGTTGATATGACATGCATTAATGACCAGGGGGCAGACACTCAACGCAGGAGCTGCCCCGTGGTGTCAGTGTGCTCCCACAGGGGAGCGCTGGTCAGCCAGAAGCCAGGCTCATTGCTGGCGAGCACAGCGGCAGTGGTGGGAGCCTCTCCCACCTCCGCACGGCAGCACTGAAAATGTCCGACTAACAGCTTAGGCCCGCTCCCCACCCACAGCTGTCAGACATCCCCCAAGAGGTCCCGGACCAGGCTGAGGGACCCGCCTGAGTGCATAAATTTTGTGCACTGGGACCCTGGTTTTAAAATAATGATGCAGATTCATACAGTGTAGCCAGAGTCCAAGTTCATGCTACATTTCAGCAAAGAAGACGGCTCAAGCAATAAAAGAGAGCTTTCTACATCTTTGAGCTTTACTTTTTTTTTCTTTCTTTCTTCCTTTCTTTCTGTCATTCAGAAAACAAAGTATAATGGCCTCATGTGGCAACTCATCACTTCTTACAGAGTATGTCACAATATGGTAAAGCAGGTTTGGCCCTCAGAAACCTGGGTAATTGCCAAGTCCTCATTCCCTTCACATAAAGATGTAAAATCTTACAGATCCTGTGGGGATAATGTCTTTACACTAAGAGAATCCAAATCTTTCGATTCTAGCCACAACTGAAGGTAAAAAAACTTGAAGACTACCCTTTCTTTCTGAAATAAAAGTGAGTAGAGTCAGCATGCAGGAGTCCAAAGGCTAATTATGATAAATACTGTTTTAGAATTATCTGCGATGTTATGCCCCTTCTGCATACACACTTTTGGGTAGGGATGGGGAAAGCAAACAGTTTTCCAAATCCTTTTGGATCAGGTTATGATTTTCAGGAGTTATGAACTTCTGGGACATCAAAGGCATTATTTGAAATGCAAGAACAGACACCTCTGCCTCTTTTTAAATTACATATAACAGAGGTAATTGTTTGAAAATGTAAATGAATGTTTATCATAAAGGTTTTTTAATTGTTGTTGCTGCTATACTGTCCCACCTACAGGTGAAACAAGTCAAATCATGTTGGAGAAGGAAATAATCTCTCCTCTATTAAGAAAAACAGAGTGCCCAGGGCAAGCAGGCGAGAGGGGGCAGGGACAGGACACCGACTTCCTCTGTGGCTTCCAGAATGTCATTCCAGACAGGGCTTTTGGGATTGCCAGGTCCTGTGACCTTGGCACCCAGCGCACTTCTTTTTCATGGGTGTTTCATGACAGTGCACACATGAGCTGTTGCTGCCCTTTAAAGTAGAAGCCAAGGAAGAGTTTATGGGTATGAGTGATGTCAGCTCATTAACTACATTTTATGTGAGATTACACAATGATTGCAATTCAGGAAAAAACAATTCTTGCCAAGTATACAGAAAGCACAGAGCCTTTTAAATCACTTAGCAGAAGCACTTGTAACAAAAGTCCACCACTGTGTGCATTTCACCTTAAAACACAGTAAAACACGCCCCCTACACAACAATAAAAACATACATAGGCCCAACTGATATTTGCAGAGATCAGCTAAATATACAATTCCCCCTCCAAATCCTTTCTGGCAGGAAGCCAGGTACTTAAAAAAGTAAAGTTAATAATTAAAATAATTTAATTATAAATTAAACTGCATAACACTACAGGGGCGTAATGCGCTCAATAATTTGCCCCACAAAAGAATTCTCTGCATTTTCTTTAAACATGCAGAACAATCCTGTAAATATAAACATTTGATTACAGATTCTAACTTGTAAAGTTGGAAGCATCGGTTTTTAAGGGTCCATCTTAAAGGCCAGTCAGAAATGCACAAGGAAGCAACTATGAAATAGCACTACCTGGCAAGAGAGAAGTAAGTTTCAATTCATAAGACTCTACTGCTATTCAGTTTTTCAAGAACGAGCTTCCTGCATGAATGAGATGCTCACACAAAGGTGCAGTCTCTTGCAGTATGGAGAACACAGTTTTCTTCACAAGAAACCCAGGTCCTTCCAAGGCTTCTGGCTGAACCCTGAAAATCTATAAGAGCTCAATTTCTGTAGTTTAATTTGGTCTCTGCTACAATACAAATCCATCTAGAGTCCTTTTTTTGTGTGTTAATCTTCACCTGAAGATATTTTTGCATTGATTTTTAGAAAGTGTGGAAGGGAGAGGGAGAGACAGAGAGAGGAACATAGATGTGAGAGAGACACATTGATGGGTTGCCTCCCACGCCCTGACCAGGGCCAGGGATAGAGCCCGAAGCTGAGGTACGTGCTCTTGACCAGAATTGAACCTGGGACCCTTTAGTCTGCAGACCAATGCTCCTGAGGGCTGAGCTACTTTTTAAATTAGTCAGAGTCAACTACCTTATTGTTTAAAAATATTTCTCACAAAAACATATTTTATTGATTTTTTACAGAGAGGAAGGGAGAAGAATAGAGAGTTAGAAACATCGATGAGAGAGAAACATTGATCAGCTGCCTCCTGCACCCCCCCTCCTTCTACTGGGAATGTGCCCGCAATCAAGGTACATGCCCTTGACCGGAATCAAACCTAGGACCCCTCAGTCCGCAGGCTGACGCTCTATCCACTGAGCCAAACCAGCTTTGGCTAAAAGTATTTCAAATCTTTTCCCCAGGGCTAATTTTAATGCCATAAAAAATAGAAAATATTCATGCCCTAGTTAATTGAGCAATTTGTGCATTCATTGATTCAAACATTTACTGAGTGCCTACCATGAGCCAGACAATGAAACAGAAAGATGGGAAAAATCTGAGGTGCTTACAGCCTAATCACAGAGGCAAATGGTTCAGGACCCAGCATGCCACAGTGTGGGTGGGTGGTGGGGGAAGGGAGCACAGAGGGGATAGTCCTGCCAACAATGGAAACTGAAGGCTTGCTGCTCCAAATGCAACATTTGTGCCACAATTTTGTCTTCTGTCTAATCTGTCTGTGCTTATCGACCAGGATTAGCTAAGTGGAACAGACCACAGACAGAATCTAAATTAGGCAAAACTCAGGAGGAAAGATAGAATATTGCTGCAAGAAAATGTGCTGGATCACAAGAATGTTAACTGCCAATAAGTATCTCTAGTTCCTGAAGGATTGACTACATATTTTATGGGAATGTCTGAAGGGGTAGGAGAAAAAAAGTTGTCTGCAGAGGGAGGAACATGCTTCTGGAGTTTGCTGTGAGCTAACGTGCACTCTCCACTAGATTAATCAATCATTTCATGTCTTTCTTGGTGTTTAATGTTTGCATAATGATCTAATGGCAAACAGGAATGAAGACAGATGCATTCATTTCCCTGAGTTCGCTTACATATCAAGGCTTACTAAATCAAGCTTTGAAATGAAACAAATCAGAAAATTCAGTAACATAGATGATTACAAAATTGATATGCAAAAAACCATAACCCTTACATAAACAAAAATCAACCTGTTAGAAGTTATCATTGAAGAGAAAAACATTTACAATAGCCAGAAAGTTAAATCTCTAAGAAAAATTTAATGTAAAATGTGAAGGAAAAATTTAAAACACTTCTGAGGGCTATAAGGTCAGAACAAATGGAAAGGCATCCATTCCTTCATTCAATGAAAACTCTGCACCTACTATATGCCAGGCACTGTTCTAGGGTTTGGAGACACAGCACTGTACAAAACAGAGAAAAACCCTCCCATCTAGGAACTAATAGTCCAGTGGATAGCATAATCCAATACCACCAATCAGCCAATTCTCCCTAAATTAATCCATAAAGTTCACAATATCAATAAAAATGCTACTAGGATTCGGGAGGGGGTGCACAATAAATACTAGGTATACCAGCTAATAATGCAGATTTTTTTCAATAGATGGAGTCACACATATATTGATATATATACAATTTGATACGTATGCTATTTTGTTGTATTGACAGCAAGTTTCAAATATTCATATGTCAAATTTGCTGAAGGTGTTAACATCATTTGATATTTTTACACTTAAAAATGTCAAATTTCATGCCAAAAAAAGAGCATTTGCGCGAAGTTTTAATTAATTACTTTATTTTGAAGAAAAATTATCATATACTTCAGGAAGCTTATGGTGGACATGCTCCATCTCAAGATACTTACGAACACTGGTTTAAACATTTTAAAAGTGACGATTTCGATGTGAAAGACAAAGAATGTCCAGATCAACCGAAAAAGTTTGAAGACCAACAATTACAAGCATTATTGGATGAAGATGCGTGTCAAATTCAAAAACAACTTGCAGAAAGATTAAACGTTGCTCAGCAAACAATTTCAGAATGGTTACAAATAATGGAAAATATTTTAAAGGAAAGAAAAATGGATGGCATCTACTGAACAAAAGACAAATGGAAAACTGAAAAGTCATCAGTAAAATGTT